TTTACTGCTCTCCTAAGCCTCTATAAATAAATGCATTTCTGCATTATGCTAATCCAAGAGATTCTAGACCCAATTTCTATATTTTATAAAATGGAGGCACTGACAGCCACAGATATGGGCATGCAAAATATCGGACATCTGCATCAGATCAGAATTCCCATTCACAATAAAGTGTACATCTATTCAAGTATTGTGAGGTTATATTTTTATTATATCACCCACAATTAGACACCACTGAGGCAGCAGCAAAAACACCTGTATCAGCACAATGCAGTCATTTATAAGAAGCTCTTCAAAAAGTGGCAACAAGCGTGATGTAAGCCATTGTTTGTGCTGTACAGTGTCCCCATTTCTTTGATTTAACCGATGGGGTCAATGAATAATCCGGTTTTCAGCCAGGCAAAAAAAACAAAAGAATCATTCACCGGGTTTTGAGTATTATGTAGCACAAGCCAGACAGCTTAAGACCACTAAACTGTGTTAGCTGCAAATGCAATGATGGGCATTTTCCAACAGACTCAAAATAGGTTATATTTAGCTGTATTCAGCTCACAGGCCAAAAACCCGTGATTACCATAACACTTGAGACTGACCACTGGCCTGGATGGCGCGGCTGGACCATGCCATTAGATGACTCTGCAATGTAGCGCAAACACTACTGAGTCACTTGTTTTTATCTGCATTTAACATTCGTACTTATTATGGTAAGAAAAACTCTTGTCTCAAGATGTCTGGGAGTCAAACCATTTCTCCGCATGCCTCAGACATTTTGCAAGCCCTCAGGACTTGATGACCCTCTGAGCTTCAAATGCAGAATGACTCTGCCTCTGCCTCAGTCTCAGTCTGTCACCCTGCCTTGAAACATGCAGCATCAATAAGACGAAATTCTTAGGTGTAAAAATGAACACTGATCAATCAGTGGTGGACTGATGACCTTACAGACAAAACTGTGGAAGATACAGATGTTCCTGATCCTAAAGTGTATATGTTAGAGGCGTAACTGCAGTCAAACAATCAAGCCTGTGATTATTAGCACACTGTTAATGTACAAATCTAACAAGTGACCATTTGCACAAATTTGGCTTTAATTTAAGATGAAAATCAGCTTTCACTTCTTCATTAAAAGTGTGAATACACATTATGCTGGAATGAATCAAAAACAGTAATTATCATCGATTTACCATCATCATGATAAACAACATCACAATATGCTTTTCTGTATGGATGCATTGAGAGAAGCGGTGAGCAAATATCTGCTGATAACAATGTGACTGTGCTTCCTTATAATTGTGCGTCTTTGCATGTTTGAAAAATGCCTGAAACTAGTGTTGTATTTTGACGGTTCCAAGAAAAACTAAACATTATGAGACATATCGTGTATCGTGAAAATGTTTACAAATATCGTTTTGTTGTGCTTCTGCCTTATCGCCTACCCTTAAGTTACCTAACTAAATAACGTTAGCTAACTGCTTGTACCTGCTTGCCTTTACTGAACAAATAACCTATGAAAGCTGTGCAAAGTAGCAGAAGACGTTAAGTAACCCAGCTAGTCTGTGGAGCAAAATTCATCTGCTTCCAGGCTCTCGCACGGTGTTTTATTAGCATCTCGAAATACTGCTAAACTCCTAACACTCGTAGGTTATTTATCTGCTGCACTGACAGTAAAAACAAACAGTTAGCTAGCTTGCTATTTAAAAGTCCTTTGCTCGTTCTCGTTCTTCTGTTTTGCACTGGCCAAATACCCACAGACTTCAGTACGAGTTTACAAAGCTGTTGAGGGAAACGAGTTTGATGACTTACCGGAGGAGTCGTGAATGACATTATTTTTGTCAACCGCGGCCATGTTGACGACGCCGTGAGGGAAGTATCCTTCATAAAACGCGAGTTTAAGTCAGGACGCATTAAAATAGCAGAACGTAAACCGATATGAAGGAGAAAGACGCGTCTGTACTTGTGTAGGAAGTTTGTCGAAGGCTCGCCTGGCCACCTCTCCGACACTCCGTACGAGCTCGAGTGCGATATCTCGCTTCCTAACAGCGGTCATGTGACCGAACCACATGATGACACTCTCTATCTTTTATTGTTTCACTTCTTAGAAAGAATGGTTTCACTCTTTAAAGTGGTGTAAAACATTTCTCCGGCTCTTGTTGGCGTTCAAACGTTTCATTACACGGACTCTAAGACTTTTGAGACGCCTTAAACATTAGCGGTGCGCTGCACACGAGAAAATTCATGGACGTTTCCATGACAACCAAACATCGTTCAAACTGGCAAATACGCTATAACAACACAAATGGCCTGAGGAGTTTATGAGGAGCTCCATAAGAATAAACCGTTATTTAACAGAGGGGGTACACAAAAATATGGTTCTTCAAGGGTTCTTTAGTAAAGGTAATGGTTCTATTTAGAACCATGTGTTCTACATCGAACCTTTTTGAAAATGGTTCTAGCTAGGTTATGTATTCCACCAAAAATGGGTTCTGCTATTGTAACGATGTCAAGCTTGTAACAGTAGAAAAAGCCTTTTTGGTGCTAGAACCATTTTCAAAAAGGTTCTAAATACAAACATATTATACAAGTCATTCTCCATCAATCTGAAGAACCATTTCACCATGCAAAGATGTGTGTGTGACCTACACACACACACACACATATATATATATATATATATATATATATATATATATATAATATATATATATATATATATATATATATGTATGAGTAATAAATTCTACTGTATTGGAGCACCATATGTTCCCAGGGCCCTTGGGTTATATTCCCTCAGTTCTTTACATGGATTACATATTCTCTCAGATCTTTAGTACCATGGTTAGGGTCATGGGGTCACCAAATCACCCTCAAGTGGCTATATAATATATAATAGATAACTTATTCTTGTATGTATTTTAAAGTAGACTTTGGCACACTCTGGTTCTTAAGGGTCTAGCTAATACTTTGCAATTCTGGTAATACTGTGACACTGAAATAAATTTGTGAGTAAAACTTTTAAAACCTTGCCTTATCACTGAATAAATCCTTATTTTTGTCCACTGAAATGTGCAACCAGAGTGTGGTCTAATAAGGGACTCTATTCGAAAGCAGCATGTCCAGAAAGTTTCAGATATTATTTACTGAGAACATGATATCAGAATGTGTCTGGTATTAAATATATGAGGTATAGATTTAAGGTCTTATTGTCATATTGAAGAAACGTTGAGAAAACATAAGGCCATTGGGTTTCCTACAAGATTTTAGTGAGGAAACATAGGGCTGTTTTCAAAATCACAAAAAGGGAACACAGAGCAGGGGGGTGGGGGGATGGGGCACAGTCTGTTAAGACATTTCACCGAGTGCCTTTGGGATGACCCCAAACATTCTGCGTCTATCAGCTTATGAACTGAAGTCTGTCGTTCTGTTTTTTTTATGCACTTTTGTTCTAAGGAATACAATAAACTCAAAAGTCAGAAATGTGACCAACAGGAATACATACAATGTCACTAACTGCATGAAATTCATTTCCAAAGTACAAATCTACCAAAATTACCTGAGTTTATGCTCTTCTTAAACAGAGAGACTTTGATTTCAACACTTTAATTAGTGGGGAACAGTTCACAAGCCTTTTATTGGTGTTCAGATATTTTATTACATGGACCCAAAGACATTTATCTTTTAGCAATGCATTGCAAACAATACAATTTTCCACAGCAATGCAACATTGTTCACACTGGAAAGTCCATTATCACAGAACTAAGCTCTCTGAGGCGTTTAAACTAAACAGTGTTTAAGAGGAACTCACTAAGAAAAACATTATTAGTCAAAGACAGTCAAACAGACGACTCCTTAAGAGTCGTTCTGAAATATTTTTAATATATCAACACTTTGTCTATTGATAGCATTGTTTGTGTAGTGGGTGAAGCTCATTCATAGGACACAATGCACAATGATTTAACATGAAAAAAGGTTGATCATGCATTGCCTTTTTTAAAGCAGAGCATCACATTTGTTAGCATAAGTTAAAATACAATAATATTTCCCAATAAAATCTGCAGAACATTAAGAAAAAACATAATATTGCAGCAGTGTGGAAAATAACATGGTGAAAAGAAGTGCAAATTCTTTCCAATCCAGACGTTGGGGAAATGCCTGTCTTTCTACAATGGCCGTCTCAGCAGGTTGATTCATCTTCCAGCACCATGTGACCAGCGAACAGGCATGAAACACACAACTTACAAGCAAAATGAGAACATATTATATATCACACCTTTAAGGTGGGTGCATTAAAACTACAGTGTGTTTGTCATTTACAGTGGCCTCTGACTTCAATAACATAATACATTAATAGTATAATAATTTTCTGCATGTCCTTCAGTGCATTTTACTTATGATTTTGGTGAATTTATGTACCAAAAACAGTCATTATTCATTTTTACATTACCAGTTCTAACCTTTTTACAAATAAACAGGCTTTTTTGTTGCAATATCTTTAAGAATAATATCACCACCCCTGGTCAAATTACATGTTTTGTTGATTTTCTAATTTACAGAAGTAAACAGGTATTTTCTGGCAAATTTTTGTCACAATTTCTAATTTATTTATTTGCTGAGTTTAAAATATTGTTGCACAGGCAAGATTTTATGTTTATTTCCCAATATATTATAATCAACAGTAATAAACAGTAAGTGTGCCTTAAAATGTGCAGAAGTGTGTTCTCTGTAGAGGATGTGTAACTTATTTTTACTTAGAAAGTCAACAAAATGTAATTTGACCAAAGGTTCTTTTATTTATCCCTTATAACTTCAACATGAATGGGCAGGGCTAAACTGCTGTAGGGTGAAAAGGTGGACATATGGAAATTGTGACATCACAAAAACAACAAATTCAAAACAGACTTTTTCAGTTTAGTTTTCATACATGACTGTATGAACTGGTGATTGAATAGTACATTGACACTTTATCAACCTCCTAATTTAAAAAAGTGAGAAAAATCTGGTTTTCCATGATATGGGCCCTTTAATAAAAGATAGATACTGTCCAGTTCTACTCCAAATGAATTCTGACCCCTTACCAATCATGCTCTCACCTCACTACTAACCCAACACTGTAGCTTGTGCTGTCAAGTGATGTTTGATCTTTTGTTGAACTTTTGCAAATTCAAACATGGAACATGAACTGACCAAAGAAGTGGTCCACTTTCAGCACTCTCTCAAACAGCGTCATGCCCTCACTCCCTCACTGACATTGCTGACCTTACTGCCTCAATCAGTGTCCTTTGAAAAACTGGACTATTGGAAATTCAATATCAGTCAGGGAACAAGGCAATTTCCTCACAGAACTACACTACGGTCTCTTATCTGCCATCCAGAGCCTTATCTCGAGCAATAACTGCCTCGTCAAACTTAATCATGAGCGTGGTTCCTTTATGCCAGTGCACAGTTACTTTAGCTGGGAATCCACTGTGAGTCAAAATGGCCTCTACGATGCCTCCAGTAAAGGCTGCGCAGTTCAGAGTGCTGTTCTCTTTCGGGACTGATATGTATGCGTTAATCAGCGGCTCCTTCTCTATGATGTAGTAAGTCTTGTCGTCATCGTTTGCCTGCTCCAGTTTATCAGCTTCCTTGCCGAACAGGGCTTTCCATACGTTCACCTTGGCGGAAGAAAGGAACAGGGAGAGAATAAACATTTGTTAATGTAAGTTACTGAAGGTGAATGACCCATATCCTATTTTGTTTTCCTAGTTTTTTTTCTCCTGAGGTCAAATTATGATGTGTGTTATGAAGTTTGTGCATTATGTACCAGAGACAACTGTATTTTTTTTCACATGTCCATTTTTCACCCTCTCTTCCTCTACTGTAATATGTAAATGAAGGGTACAGAATATTGTTTTTGCGTGATTTTAGCTTTAACTAACTAATCTATGCCTACATGTGTCTATTCACCAAAAATTATCTTCAAGAAATTATGGGTATCACAATCTGCCACATCTGCTGCAGCCAATCAACTCAATCTTGTTTCTAACTTGGTTGGCTGGATCAGATGCGTGTAAGATGCAGGTTGGGACTAGACTATGTCGGAAAGCAGATCTCCAGGAGGAGGGTCGGTGACCACTGCTATATTCCTTGTGTAGCCTCATGCTAGTCCTATCACTTACCTTGATAAAGAGCAGTATGTTGAGCACTTTGGTCTCTCGTTTGCCGTTTTTCTCTCTCATCACCAGAACATCCAGCAGACTGGCACCGACACCTTGGCCCATGTCGGCCAGGCGGCCCTGCAGCTCGGACACGGAGTACACCCGGCTCTGGCAGTACTGCACCATCTCCGAGAAGAGCAGGGCGAAGGCGCTGACGCTCACCTCCGTCTTAGGCCTGGTCAGAGAGCGCTCCAGGATGGAGGACTTCCCTCTAGTGAAGCGAGTCTCCATTTCTGAGAAGCGAGACGGACAGTTTAGTCAAAAGCAGAGAGGAACTACGAAGCGCACTATGAAACCGTATCTAAACAGCTAGGTTAACTTAGCTAACGACGTCAGGCTGGTTTTAGGCGTCATTTACTAGCCATCCAGCACTAAAGCCAGGACCGTATTAACGCTAAGACGCGAGGCTGAAGCTGGCTTACTATTTGCCTGCTTCTTGTTCTGATTTGCCCCGTTCCACCTTAAAGGAAGAGGCGCCAGAATGAGAATAAGAGAGAATAAGAAGCTGATTTAGCAGCGTCGCTAAAACGGATGGAGACTGTTTAGCTGGATGCTGTAGTACCGTTCATTCATAGCTGGCTAGCCAAGTAACGCTAAGCTTACATTTCAGTATGCAATAAAGACATGAAGACGGCATAAACCAGTACTGTTCACTCAAAAACATATTGTTTTAACTGACATGTAAAACTCCAGTATATTTATTGCGCTTACCTGATGTTTTGGGTCTTAATGCTGCGAAGCCACAATTTCAACACTCTGTCATTGTCAGGTGGAGGCGGGCACGCATTTCAAAATAAAAGCCGCGTAGCAAAATAAATGTTTAAATTCTAGTGACCTAATCCTTCCCTTTTTTTACAGAGCTTAGGTTAGTTTCAGTTCTTGAACGACTTACGAATACGCAATGCTAAGAAAAACTATATATAATGATATGATAAGCTATGGATTTCAATATTTCTTTTTAAAATAAATAAATGCACTTAGGCAATTCTATGTCCATCACCATAGTCATCAACATGTCAAGTGATATTTCAAGGCTGCAGTCCAATATGTGTATTTGTGTTCTAGCCAGAGCGGATAATGTTTTTTCCAGGGGCCGAATTTCAAGTAAGTAAAAGCTTTGCGGAGACTTCAGTTCTGCGTTTTGAAAAGCCCCCGTGAACAGTGTGATTTATCTGTCATTGCTGACTTCACTCCTGCCTCAACCTGCAGTTTTGGTGGCGTGACTTTGCAGGCCGGTTTAAAAAAAGTTAAAGTTATCAAGCGTGGCTTTTATTACTGTTCTGTTTGTAGTATCTGTGCAGCGTGTCTGTCTTGTTGCTGAATGACTCCGCGTGAAACATGATCCCAGTTTTCAATGCTAGCTAGGCAGCTCACATAAACTTAGTGGTACTGATTTTGTTTTAATCACAATCTCGCGTGAAAAACATTGCTTGTCACCCTGTCACGGCATTACGGTGTCGTCGTGTGAATAGGATGATTCAGACCCTGAAAAGTGCGAGACACTTGGCCACAGCAGCTATGAAACACAGAGGTGAGAGAAATCGCTTCTTTTTACATGCGTTAGTGTTGTTTTTGTACGATTAACTGGCACTGCATGCTCCAACATGACTGTATTGTTTAAAAGTATATGCATATATTTGGTTGGAATCGCCCTTGTGAAAAAGATCAATGGGCTAGTGGAACCACAGGGACTTCTACAAGATCACCTTGGATTAAATCTGGTTTTGCCATCTAATGGGAATTGGCCTAATGGTTATCATTAGAAAACACTAGTTTTCTGTAGGACAGCTTTAGATCCCGTTAGGTAACCATCAAATGTATCAGATCCCAGAACACCTGTTAAACCAGTGAATCATTTCCCTGCTGAACAAACCCATAAAAACCATTAAACGCTTCTGTTGGTTACTGATGGTTTTGTAATGTGTTTTGGCTTTTTTAATGTGTCTTGTTAAATATGTTAAATACAGCCCCATAGTATGTTCAATACAGCCCAATAGGAACCTTATAGTTTGTTCTAATATCACTATAGATTATGGTGCTCCAACTGTTTGTCTTGGTGGTCTAAAGTGCAATGTTTGTGTGGGTCGAGGGCTAAAAAGACAATAAACTGATAAAGAAGGAAGGTAGTTTCAAGTTGACAAATGACCTTAAACTGGTTAACATCTCTGTTCAAGAGTCTACCATATGAAAAACATTGAACAGGCATGGTGTCCACAAAAAACATCACTGCATTGAAGTAAATCTACTACAGAATCATTTTAAAATAAAATAAAATCCGCTTTTTGAGCCGTTCACACCAGACGTCTAAATAATATGGTTGAGCGAAAGCAGATCTGTGAGAAAGAATAGTTCGCTGTTCCTCTTGAACGTTAAGCAGGTTGGATCTGCAGCTACCAGAAGCCCTTGCTTGAGGTTGTTGCTGCCAAAGGAAGTTCAATCATTTAATAAATGCAAGAGTTCATTTACTTTTTCCACCAGCGCTGTGAATGTTAAACTGGTGTGCACAATAAAGGCATGAAAAATTATAATAGTTTTTGTTATTAACTTCAGCACATTGTGTTTGTCTGTACTTATGACATAAATCAATTAATGCAGAAAACTAGGTAGTTCAAAGGGTTCATACTTTTCTCTGTATTGTATTACAGTCAGTAGACAGTGGACTGGTTATTGTCATTACTTCACCACACAATGCTTATCACAATATGATCCACTTAAGTAGATCCTCCACATCTGTTGTGCAAAGTAAATCATAACTGAGTCAGTCTGTTTGCTTTGACAGTGTCAGAGTTTCGTGTGCCTGTTCCATGGGGAGAGATGAGGGGCAGGATTTGGGGTCCAGAAATGGGCGTCCAGTGCTGTGTATTCATGGCTGGTCAGACAACAGTGGCTCTTTCAACAACCTGATTCCACTGCTGCCCAGCGGTAAAGTATCTGTGTAGAATTACACAGCAGCAATTATAAACATGATCTTGAATGAGTCATTTTCATTTATTGAATTTTTTAGATGATTGTCGAAAGCATTAACATATACAATATGTGGACATATATATTTGACAGAGTTAGATATATGTTATGTATGTGTGTGCGAATTAATTCTTCATATGTCTATATGACCCTGAAGATTCATGTTCATAAAACTATGAGTACATATTATATTCACTTTCATGCCAAGTAGCAGTGATCTTTATAAAATAGTAACAAATGATAGTCTAGGTGCTGGGAACATGTGTCAGAACATTTTATTATTTAGTGACTTGAGCTTAAATTGTATCTAAGTAAAATCTGAGTAAAAATTTTATTTCAGATTTAGTGGCAGTTATTTTCAGATACAGTCATTTTCCTTTACTAGGTATCTGTCTATAGATGCCTTTTCTTTTTTTTCTCTTTGTGTTTCTCTTAGATTGGAGATGTTTGGCCATAGATTTGCCTGGTCATGGCTTCTCCTCTCATAGACCTGCAGGAGTTTTCTACAGCTTTCCTTATTATGTTGCAGACATGAAACGAGTCATAGAAGGTTTGAGTCCATCACGCTGTTATAAATGCATCAGAGCATATAATGTAAACGCACTGCAAATGAGGCATTTAAAGTACACATAAATTATTCTTTAAAGTCAACAGAAATCAGAATGCGTTTTCTTTCAGTACTGTGATGTAGTTCTGAGTGTAACAGTATCAGAGAGGGTCTCTGAGCTGACTAAGTGTTTAATAGGTAATAGTTAGGGATGGAAGAAGGGGGAGGCAAATTATGATTGGTTAATATAGTGTTTTGATCAACACATTTACAGACAGGCAAAAATGGCTACATTTTGATGACTTGAGCAAAATAATTTTGTCTGTAAAATTATATGATAGGATGAATTGTGCTTAATATGACTAGGGCCATGAATTAACAAGACTAAAAAGGTCAACTTTGATATTAGGATAACTTAGGATGACCTTTGCTATGTATGCTACTGCTAAAATGTGTTTTATGTTTTATTGGAATCTAAATGTATTCGAAGTTGTGCTTATGTATTTGCATTCACCTGTGTTTGATAACAATGGCCCCATGCCACTAATGGACAGTGTTTCTGTGTGCAGCTGTTCAGTGGAAACGCTTTTCCATAATAGGACACAGTATGGGTAAGCTTACTATTATACTTGCTGCACAGTTTTCCTGATCCTCCACAAAGGATGTTCTTAAGTTTTTTGTCCAAGATCGTTTTCTAGTTTAATACTATGTGGCAACACAAATATACTTTTCATATAATTTAGTCCGGTTTTTGTTTTCATAGATACTTCAGCTGCACAGTGCCCAGTTCAAGTGCTTTAAAATTATTAAAACCAGCCCATCTTAGGTAAGATGTGGTAGGCTAGCAGTTACCTTAAGATGCTACAGTCAGAATCACTTTATATTTATTATGTGCGTCATACAACACACTCTAAACTGATGTGTTATGTTTGTTTTTTAGAGCACCTTTTCGCATGATTTTTTCTACTCTCTGTAGATACTCATTGAGATGTGTCTAGTGAGGGCAGTGAGGTCAGAAGTATTTAGGTGAGAGGTCGTTGCTGACTTTGACACCTTAGCTGCTCTTATCATGCAAAGAGTAATTGATTGAATGGCCTGTTTACTCAATGTGAACTTTTACTCCCGTTGTACATTATGTCTTTACTCAGGATAACTGTCTATTGTTCTGTAGCTTAAAGAACCTCAATGTCTTTTTGACTTGAACATTGTGGTTATTTATTTGTTTACATTACAGGTGGGAACATGGCTGGAATGGTAAGACCTTATCACATGATTGTTAAAGTTGTGCGATGTACAGGATCAATATAGATAGCATGTACATGTAGCTTGTTTTGTTTATGGCTGTTTTGTTGGCAGTTCAGCGCATTGTATCCGGAGATGGTGGAGGCTCTAGTGCTCCTGGACTCTTATGGGTTTCTCCCAGCACACATGGTACAAACATAACACACTGGATTAAACAAATAGAAATGATATCTATAAAGTAAATCACTGCTGTATTGATTACCACATAGTCATTGTTGTAACAAAATCATATCTTCAGAAATTGTAACTTTATAGATTACAGTTATGAGTTAAAGGGCCCTTATCATGAAAAAAAAAACAAGTTTTCTTTGCTCTTTGTGTCTGACGTAGTATGTAAACATTATTAAAGTTTCAAAACATACCAACTTTCCAGTCCATCCAGTCCATGTATTTAAACCAGTCTGCAAAAACAGCCAGTTCTGCTTTTACTGGTGATGTCACAAAAACTCATATATACCAGCCATTTCATTAAGTACATCTCATTGTTTCTGAACTCATTGTCCATTTTATTAGGTGTGCTTACCATATCGGTGCACTTTGTAGTCCTTCTGTTCCTCTGCATACTTTGTTAGCCCTTATTTACCTTTACCCTGTTCTTCAGTGGTCATTACGCCCCTGGGACCCTCACAGAGCAGGCATTATTTGGGTGGTGGATCATTCTCTGCACTGCAGCACCCAAGTACTTCCTGCTCTGTAGTGGTCCTGAGGGGGCCTGACCATTGAAGAACAGGGTGAAAGAGGGCTAACAAAGTATGCAGAGGAACAGATGGACTACAGTCTGTAATTGTTGAACTACAAAGTGCACCTGTATTGCAAGTGGACCTGATAAAATGGACATTGAGTGTAGATACAAGGAGGTGTACTTACTGAAGTGGCCAATCAGTGTATATCCACCTATCCAGACTACAGCAATTTAGCTCTGCCCATTCATATTGAAGTTATAAGAAGTGTTTTAGCCCAGACTGCTTTTTGAATCAGGCATAATACAGGGCAGCCTATCAGAACAGAACTCATTTACATATGTCAGTGTTAAAGTTACAGTAACAAAAACAGTCTGTTTAGTTCTAAAAGACAGAGAGGTTAAAAAAATGATAATGTATAAATTAATTGGGAATTTGATTTTTAGTGCATAAAACAATCAAAACATCATAGAGAATCTAAAAAAAATAAAAAATAAAATTCAGGACATGGCCCGTTTGAAGTAATGATTTATTTAACATCATTTTGGACCATTTCTACTGTGAAGGACCATAAAGGACAGAGTTACAACATTTTATATGACAGTGGTGTTATAATACATTGTTTTTACAAAACAATAATTTGACCTATTTTTTACATAGCAAGCTATTCTTTAAATAGCAAGTAGATAGGTGATACGTCTCTGTTCACAGGAAAAAATAAACGAAAACCTAAGGAAAGGCATGGATGAAATGTTGGACTATGAAAAAAAGATGACTGACCGGAAAGAAAGGATCTACACGTATGAGGCAGCCAAAGAAAGGTATTTTTTATGAACTCTTTCATGCAGTCAAATTGAAATATCAGTTATCTGATTCAGAAAATGTTCTTCTTTCATTCTCTTCCAGGCTGAAGGAGGCAAATCCATTTCTTTCAGACCAGTCTGCTGAAATCCTTCTAGAACGAGGAGTTAAGCAGGTGGATGGAGGTTAGATATTCATTTGCTTATCACTCCCAGGGGGCTGGTCTTGGCCTGTTTGCATGTGATGATGTTACACAGTGAAACGTGTGCTTTGTTAAACCTTAAATCCCCAATTCTAATTTAACAGGCACTCTTTGGTTAGAGTGTGATTTGTGTGGCACAGATCAGATTTTTTTTTCATGTCTGTGAGAACCCAAAATTCTGGTCTTTTCAAAATCATTTGAGCCACTTTCAGATGGGTGTTTCCACAGCAAACCATCAATTTCTTAAATCCATTTTTTAAGATTAAGATTTTTAAGATTGTGTTCACATTGTAAAAAGAAATCTGACTTGTAAGTTCAGACCGTAGTTGTATTTGTTTACATATGTCATATGTCATATTTCATGTGTCTTTTTATTGTTCAGACTACAGAAAATAATCAGATTTGAGCTGCTTGTCTAAATAAAACTAATGAAATTTGTGTTTCACACTTTATCGTACATGCACATAACACTGTCATCATCATCCACTGTTGCTGTTGCACAAGTTGCACAAGCTCTGTATGTGGCCTTTTTTGGCCTTCTAGCCATAATCACAAACAGCTTCTGAGCAACTGCTGCTAGTTTGTCTGTTTTGTAAAGGGGCTGTGAGGGTGGACTGTCTTGAAAAGATGCCTATGGCTCCTGCAAATGATATTGATTTTGAAAATTTGCATGTGTGGATTCTTTCAGGACAGATGTGCTTACACTAATGTTAGATATGAATCACTTTCAACCAAGAACATTGTAAAGGAAAAAAGATTGTATTTGGAAAAGAAATCTGAATTAATATAGCTGTACGCTGCATTAATAACAATAGACATTATAACTAATTTGCATTACAAGCCTTATTGCTCAATTCTTAATTTTTTACTCCAATCTGATCTTTCTGCCTTGATGGTTCACATTTGTGTAAGTGACCCACATCTTTCTTTAGTTTGAACGAATCTGTGCCATGAAATGACCCACATGCACCCATCCTAATCAGTTGCGTCATATGAATAATCCACGTGGATTATGAAAAACAGCAATAGAAAATGAGCAGTCTAGCTGTAACATGACAGAATAAATCACATGCTCATGGTAAAAACAAAGATTTGAGGCTTGGGACAATCCAGCAGTGAAAAAACAGGCCAAACATCTAACTTCATCAGCAAACAACACATTGTTTTAACCGTACCTTACTGTTTTATGTTTTTTTTTTTTGTATTCTGATATTATGTAGCAATCCAATTAGGTATATCTAGTAACTTTTTAAAAATTTCAAATTTCAAATATTGTACAAGCAAAGATTTTTTTTTGTTAATTTATTAATTCATTCATTTATTCATGCTAAAGAGACCATGCTGTGCTATACACTTCTCTCCCTTCGAGCGTTTATTTGCATATGCAAATCAGTTAAAAGGTAAGCGGAGCTGGACAGCTCATTCAGGTGTGGTCACTTTGCGTGTGTGATTTATAAAAGATCAGCTGCAGTTCTAAATTGCGTGCACATATTCAAGCGTTCGCTCCTTTTTTAAATCATTTACACACATGCTGAGGAATTTTCTTAACAACAAGTGTGAAATGTTTTACAAATTGGGCCCCAGATGTTTGCATTCAGACAGTAAAAGTGCATTTGTGCCACTTTAAACTGGTAAGGTTAGCATAGCCTTAGAGCAACAGAGAGCTTGTTAATTACATAATATGCAATATATATCATCAACACATGCAAGGAGATCCCTAAACAACACAAGGCAGAGGTACTTCTGGACAAGCAAGAATGGGGAAGCATTTAATTTTTAAGTTAAAAAATGGAAAAGGCCACACACACAACATTTGGCCACAAGTGAATGACTGAATCAATGAATTTTGAGCATAATCCTCAGTCCAGACCATATTGCCATGCAGGAATGAATGGAGGAAAATCATATTGCTATCTTATTTTGTCTTATATTTGGGTGTCTTTTCTTTTACAGGAGTGGTGTTCAGCAGGGACATCAGAATCAACTTTGTGAGTTTAGTAACTTCATTTGGTTTTTTCAGTGTATTCAATTTCACTCTCTTTTTGCTAAGTAATGTCCAGCAATCCAGTTTAATATCTGTTCATTTCTTTTCTCTGTTCTTTCAACTTTAATTTGATACTTTGACTGTAAAATGGTTAACTTTAACCCTTTAACATTCCAGCTTTATTTTATGCAAAGGCTTATTATTCAGTAACTACAGGGACTTCAATAAAAACTACTGGAGCTGTTCTTAGGTTATAGAATTGTGTAATAAAACTTAAGGGGGTTAAAATATTTTGTATGCTATGTTTTTATTATTCTGTTCAATGTTATTGTGATCAGTGCTGTTGATTGTGATCCCATAGTAGTGTGTTGTTTATTTCAGACTAACATTGCACGAATTACCTTGGAGCAGAGTCTGAGTTTGTTGGCGCAGATAAAAGCTAAAGTGTTAGTATTGCGGTGAGTATTGACTACAACCCTTATGTACAGCAACATGAATTAAACCTTACAGTCTACTTGGCTGCATTATCAATTAGCAGATTTTTTTTCCTTAAACCACAACAGCTTAAAAGTACTGTTGTGTTAGTGCAGTACTGTTAAGCACTTTGTAGTTTCCTCTCAGCTCGTATTTTTAACTATGTATCCTAGCACCTGATTTCATTGGTTTCCACTGGTTGTTAAAGCTGCCCTACGCAATTCATTTTGTTAAAGATTATAGAAGTTGCATGACTCGGTTAGTAGAGAGAAAAATATTTTATAACTTGGTGTCTTTGTGCTGTCGTGAGTCACCCTGTAAAGCCTAAAATATTCATTCAAAAGTCAGAGCAATTACAAGTTGGATTTAGCTCTAACTTAAGACGTACCTTTTTACATGCCTGTTAAATACAGAAAAGCCAAAAGGAAGATTTGAATTGTTACATTTAAATTGTTACCATAAATAGTAGCCTCAATAATTTACTGTTTTTCTGAGATATGTCTAGACTACTGTTGTTTAAGGCAGTTGTTCTCAGGAGGGTAACTTTGAGGAATCACAGATGGTTGCCGGAAAAAACATATACAGCTAATTTGATAACATACTTTTGAAAATGACTTTTCCATATGAAATCCCTGTCTAATGATATCCTGTTGTTTTTATAGGCTAAAACAATGGGCCTCATTCACCATTATCTTCCTAAGTTGTTTCTTAAATTTGTTCTTAAGAAAGGTCCTAAGAAGAAGTCTGTGTCAGATTCATGACGTGTTCTTAAACCACAGAACTGTTCACACCTTTATGTTCTTGCATGTGTTTACATTCTGTTTTTACCTAAGAACAAATCCCAAATGAGAAAACATAAGTGAACGTCAGAATCTTCGTGAAAACTGCGTAAGTGGGTTTCAAGAAGAACGGTTGGTGAATGAGGCCCAAAGTTTCTGTGCGATTAAAATTGCGCAACAGTCTCTTAGTGACTAGTGATGAGTGGTAAATATAACTAGAACTTTGGAATATAGAACTTTCACTGACCCGTCATTGGGTCCCATCATGAATCTGACTTTTTCTTAGGGCCTTTCTCAAGAACTAATTGAGGAAAACTTCAGGAAGATATTGGTGTATGAGGCCCATTGTATTTTATTATCCCCAAAACTGGTTTGTTTTTGAACATACCAACAAATTATATTTGTCAGCCCCTTGGTTTAAACTGAATGGATATAGATTACCTCCTGTAATCAAATGTGCATTTTTAAAACAAGTGATATCACATGAAGACATTAATCCAAAAGATATTTTTTCACCTGCACCTCCCCCTCTTATCAAAGTCTGCCAATAAAACTCCAGCGCTGCTTTGGCTTATCATTGTATGTTGCTTGAATAACATACAAGATACTTCAAAACGTCTCCCTTAGTTGCCCAGATTAATCAGTTTAGGGGAGGAATGTACAGCACAAATTCATAAATGATGTTCTTCTGCTAGTTGCTTGAAGTTCTGTATATCCACCATAGAGGGCTCCAAATCCCCAGACTTGTGTAGTGCTGCTTTTGGGCCCTTTAGCAACTTGCAATTAAATGCTTTTTATGTTTATTTCAGGGCCAGTGATGGTTTGCTAAAGATCTTTCCCCAACCTGAGGACTTATTTGAAGGCTTACAAAAGGGCTGGGAAACCAGAGTGAGTCCCTGTCTCAGTTATGTGTTACACTCATACACACAGACACATTGTGTCCTTTCTCTATTTGGCACCATATACTGTATTCTTGTACTAGTGGTTCTCAAACCCCAGCAGTTTAGGTTTGCTCTATCCCTGTGTGTTGAAAGTTGTGACGAAGTACCAAAATGTGGACCGTCCAGGGTTCCCAGAGGACTGATTTGAGAACCACTGCTAAAACTATGCACTTTTCTCTTTAAACACTGAAGCCACATTCACACTAGACATTTACAGTCCGTGTTGCCTTGTGACACGGGTGTGACTGAGGCTGATTTGAGGTCTGGCAACAAAAAAGTCCTCCATTTTGGTGCACTTAGCAAGCCAGCTGAACCGCCAACCACAAACAGTGACGACACAAAAGTGAACATATATCAGATAACTATATACGTGTGGGAAGATAGTGTTGCACACTGAGTAAAAAATGTAGATACCGTGGTTGGCTGCTGTGGTGTGACTTGTAGGGTGTGCAGCTGTGGTTAGCCAATATCACAGTTAGCAAGCTGTAAAACAAACCATAAAAGTAAAGATAAAAATGCAGTCTCCCATATCACGCAGTCTCTATTTCATGTGGTTCTTTACAGCCAGTGGGGAAGAAATTAGCGTTTTCTTCATTTTAGAGGTTCAGTGATACGAAGGACCACCCCTTAACGTGAACTTGCTGAGAAAATTTGAACAAGAAAATGAATCGTCCTGGAAGTCTGCATTGTGAAATCACTTGCAAAAATTTGCTGGCAAATTCAATTGGGACTGGGCCTTAATGGTTTGCACCAAATTGAATTATCAAAATTATCACATGGTTCCTAACATTAATAAATTTAATTAAAGCAAATAGCCACCAAACAAACAGTTGGCAGCAGTGTAACATGTCACATGCGTAAGCCAATTACCTCTGATGGCTCTGTTTCTGCAAGCCTGCAGCCACTGAGTGCAAACAGTGCGCAATGTCCACACTTCATTTTTGTCACTTCTAGTACATTGTTCGGGTACACTGCGTCCTTTTGCATTTCTCAGTGTGAGCATCCTACTTGCACTAGAAGTGGCCACTACACTGTATAGTCAGATTGAGTCACTACAATTTCCTCAGTACTTTCTCTCTTATTTTGTCTCTGTTTATCTCAGAGCACTATTGTGAGTGTCGAAGGAGACCATCACATCCACATGAACAACGCGTCGGTTGTGGCACCAATCATCACTGACTTCCTGCAATCTGTGACGCCTCAACACACCGCCAACCAAACTGCCAAATTATGAAAAGCCCATCACACATATTTCTGTGTGCACTTTCATATTCAGGGCCCAGTTTCCCAGAAGCAGCTTAATGTTAAGATCATCTCAACTGGTAGACAGAGTGTTCAGTGTGATGCACGCTGTACCTTTACAGAATTATCTTTAGCTAAGATGCTTTTGGGAAACCCAGCCCAGGTCGGTTTCAGTACTCTCACAAGTAATATAGATTTTTTCCAGGTCATTCATGTCTTAAGTTCCATTCATGTCTATGCAAAATAACGAAGTCATACAGTAAGATAATGTCGTAATGGGTATTTTCAATTAAAATGTTCTGTATGCTGTACACTGGGCGGTCAGACACCAGTCTTGGAGTGCCACACTTCTGCTAAATTTACACACCAGATTCAGCTCATCAGCTAATTACAAAGCCTTTCATGAGTCGTGTTAAAGAGCTTACATCATGGGATACTAAATTTTCCTTGCTTTTTTAAAAATTGTTCCGATTTCAAGAAATACTATTCACTTCTCAAACCATACAGTTCATATATAGAAATTATACAGCCCATTTTGGATTTGTTGGGGTTATGATGTCGCAGTAACGGCAACAAAAACAGCCTGTTTAATTGGTTAAAAAATGATCATGTGAAATGATTTATGTTCATTTTGGTACAAAAACCCACACAACTGTTAAAATAAAATAACAGGAAAAGTTTGTATATATAGAAATGCTGAAATCTGCAGTGCGTGGCTCTCCAGCACCTCAGTTTGGTCTCAGTTTGACATTCTTGCCATACAGGGTAAACAACATGAAAACTAATTTTGTAATAATTTTATGAGTACATTGACTGAACAACTAAACTCATGAGTATTTTTTTTATATTTATAACACAGTCTAAAATGTTTTATACATATGCTGTGGTGTAGTCTGATTCTGTAATATACTGGTGCTGTTAATTAAAAAAAAACAAAAAAACATAGACACTGTGTATATGTCTATCTCTGTCTTTCACAATGTTCTTATGCCTTCCAGTTCATTTCATTACCGAAGAGATTAGCAATGACCAATTTTGTCCACTGTGGAATGGTGGTGACTTTAAGTCACGACACATTAAAACAGTAGAGCATAAACCATTATAAGGTGAAAAACATGTTTATATTTGTGTAATAAGTTTGTCAGTTTTATTTATTTATTTTTTGTCTTGCATCAGAGAAGAGAATTACCACTCTGTAATGTCTTTCAGGTTTCTCAAACGCTAGAGGGCGCTCCCGAGCGAGTCCAAAATTTATAAGTTTATAAATACTTAAACATTTTTAATGTAAAAGAATACAATCATGTCCTGAACACTAAATTCCATAAAGCATTTTAACACTGTTGTTATACTTTTAAGAGCTTTTAAACTGGAGTTGCAGGAGTTTAAAATGGTGCCTCGCGGACGTTCATGAGCCAATGAGCTGCTCAGTTCGCCAACCAATCAGCACTCAGTAGCAGTAATGCCAGAGTCCTGCTGCCCAAAACCTGTTTGCTGTGGAAACAAGGAAACATACAGGCATGTTTTTCTAGTGAAATACATCCTTCTACTTTCTAAAACAAAAGGACAGTTCTGGGCGAGTGATTAGAAACTATTTTAACTTTTCGTTTTTAGCTGTTTAGCTCCATTTGCCCCCATTCATTGAGGACTTGCTCACAGGCGCCCCCTGGCGTTTCGCGGTTATGTTTTTGATATAACGGGGGAAATAGGATGAGGCCCGGCTCCTCTTAAACCGGTGTGCAGCCCAATCTCACATCCCTGTCCTGATTTCACTTCCCGTGGAACCAGAGCCGGTTTATGAGGAGCCTGGCCACTTCCTATTGCCCTGGTATATCTAAAACAGGACTGCTGAACATCAGAGGGTGCCCGAGAGGGAGTCCTCAATGAATGTGAGTAAATGGAGATGAATGGCTTAAAATGAAAAGTTAAAATAGTTTCTAATCACTCGCCCAGAACGTTTATTTAATTTTAGAAAGTAGAAGGATGTATTTCACCAAAAAAGCAAAGAAATCCTACCTATATATTTCCGTTTTTCTACAGCAAACGGGTTTTTGGCAGCAGGAGGCGGGCATTACTGCTAGAGCGTGATGATTGATTGGCGAGCGGAGCAGCTCATTGGCTGTTCGCGCTCACTGACGTCATGAACATACATGAGGCGCCGTTTTAAACTCCTATAACTCGAGTTTAAAAGCTCTTAAAATATAACAGCTGTGTTAAAATGTTTTATGCTGTTCTGTGTTCAGCAAATGACTGCATTCTTTTACATTAAAAATGTTTTACTTTTACATTAAAAAAGTATTTATAAACTATGATTTAGCTCAAATGCGCCGTATCAATCCATTCATTTTGGACTCGCTCGGGAGCGCCCTCTTGTGTCTGAAAAACCCAGAAGACATTGCAGAGCGGTAACTAATTCTCCTCTCTACAAGTCCTCTGAGGGAACCTTGGCCAGAGTTAGCAAGTTAGCACGTTTTCATTATCATGCAAGCCAGTACTATAAACTGTAAACCGTGACACGGTTTTGATTCAGTTGTGTGCTACTTTTGTTACATTTGTTTATGAAAATATTTAAGTTCACTAAAAGTCAGGCACGTGCACATCTACCCATGCATTTTGAGGTTACTCCCAAAATCGTTGATTGATGGCTGTGATATGTATGATTCATCCAATAACACGGCTAGTACCATGACAGGGATGGGTGAGATTGCTAGCCGATCTGCGTCCTCGGCCTAGGGTAGCATAGGGTGTTTAATGCTGAGACCACTGTATTTGTAACTTGGTCTCATTCTCTTTCGTACTTTAATACTAATTAAAACGTGTCTTTCTGTGAGTGAAAACATTCAGGTTAGAGCGCAGTGAGACGAGAGGAGTACAGACAAAAAAAAAAACCTGACCAATTACTATCATGTTTGTTTAGCATGAGACCATGCCTGTGGCTGAATCTCAAATGGCTCCTCACTCCCTACATAGTGCGCTGCGTAGATCATGAATTCAGGGATTCTACACCACAACAGTGCACTAGACGTTGTGCAGCCTTGACTGAATATAAATAGCTTTTATTTGGACATATAATGCACTGTTTGTGTGCAGAAGCCGTTACATAATGATCCATGTAGTGCGCACTACATAGGGAATAGACAGCCATTTGTGACTGAGCCTATATGTTGCCCAGCTCTGCTCAAGCTGTTGTGATTGTAGCCCAAATACAGGCTAAGACCGACATCGTGTACAAAGCAGGATGGCTCAAAGGTCTGTGTGTTCAAGTGGATAACTTGCCAAGTGAGCAGAGAAGAGTGCAAATTACACACCTTACTACTGCTGACAGGCGGCACGGATCGGGCAGTGCCGGTGTTGGGCTGAATTCGGGCTCCCCCGGCCGAATCCGGCTCCCCTTCGCGTGCACGCGCGTCACACAGGCTACAGATGACACCTGGGATTTCGGTATATATATACATATATACATCTATATATAACGGCTACTCTTTAATGATCCCTCACAGCAAACAGCACAGCAGGACCTGAAGCCAAACAAGGAGTCAAAGTGTATTAAAAGGTATTAATTAAATATAACGAACCAAAGACTTTGGTTCTGCCCGCAGCACTCAGGGGGACTGAATGTTCTTCAGTCAAAATGGTGAGTATTACCGGAACTCTTTAAACTCAGTTTTAATGCTCAGGTCTGGAGCAATAACTTGCTTGCTATAACTAAGTTCACCTCTGACCACGTGACGCTGCTGTATTACTTTTTTCCTCGTCATTGTTTCACAGCCTGACTTTCATTTCTCTTTTTTATCAGGGGGAGTAGAATTTTGGCAGTACTGGTTTGACACCTTCCAAAACTATACTCCCCCCATGATCTCAGGAGTGCAGTGTCAGATTCACTCCAAATTTATTTTGGTGGCATGGCTTTGTCTGTAGATTGTGCCCTAAAATGCATTTTACTCTAGGTTCAACAAGGGGGATTTTAATGGGGGGAGTACAATTTGGTTGTTATTTTGACACCTGCTGAAATTATACTCCCCCCTCTGATCTGAAGACTGCATGGTCAGGTTATCATCACATTTATTTTGGTAGCATGGTATTTCAGGGCACAATCTTGGTTGATTGTGCCCTGAAATGCATTGCTATAGGTTCAACTGGTGGGATTTTACTGGGGGAGTACAATTTTGTCAGTGTTAATTGAGCACCTGTTGAAAATATACTCCATCCTGATTTCTAGGTCTGATCAAAATCAAACTTATTCTGGTGACTTATGTTGATGTGTGTGTTATACCATATAAGGCATATGTTTCTAAGTTTAACAGGGAGGATTTTATCAGGGGAGCAGAATTTTGGCAATGCTGTTTTATCACCTGTCGAAATTATACTCCCCCTTATGCCTCAGATTCAAGATCTGGTTCATATAAAACTTATTGTTGTAACTTATCTTGGTGTATATGTTTTACCACATACAGCGCATGTCTAGCTGGCAAGTTTAACAGGGGGGATTATATCAGGGGGAGTTGAATTTTGGCAGCCTGGCTAAATTATACTCCTCCCCCATGATCTCAGGACTGCAATGTCTAGTTCACTTTAAGTTTTTAAAAATAACACCACCAAAATTGTACTCCACCAGTAAAATCCCACCTGTTGAATCTAGAATAAAAGCATTTTAGGGCACAATCTACAGACCAAGACATGCTACCAGAATAAATGTGATATTAACCAGACCTTGCAGTCTTCATACCAGAGGGGAAGTATAATTTCGGCAGTTGTCAAATTAACACTGCCAAAATTGTGCTCCATTAAAATCCCCCCTGTTGAACATAATGAAAAATGCATTTTTGAGCACAATCTACAGACCCAGTCATGCCCTAAAATAAATTTGAAGTGAATCTGACACTGCACTCCTGAGATCACAGAGGGAGTATTATTTCAGCAAGTGTTAAAACAGCATTGCCAAAATCCTACAACCCCTCATAAAATCCCCCATTAAACCTGGGGACATATGCCTTAGATGGTATCATATACACACCAACATAAATCAGCAGAATAAGTTTTATTTTAATCAAATATTGCACCCCAGTATAATTTCAGCCGGTTTTAAATACTCCTGACTGTAAAGTCTGCTGACATTTCAACCAAAATTAATGTTAAGAATGACTGCCATTTAAATCACAAGGGCCAACTTCTGTTTATGCAGTGTTGTGTTTGTAACATAGTTCATTAAGTGCTCCTAGTTAGATAAGCAGAGATAATAAGGGTATATTTGTTGAATTTGACATCTCCAGAATCTCATTAACAGAGAAATGAAAGTCAGTCTGTCCAACAATGACAAGGAAAAAAAGTGATACAGCAGCATCAAGTGGTCAGAGGTGAACTTGGTTATAGCAAGCATGTTATTTCTCCAGACTTGAGAATCAAAACTGTGTTTGAGTACTTATCATCATGACTGAAAAACATTCAATCCCCCTTGAGCAACCAAAGTCTTTACTGTTGGGATACAGGAGCCAGTATTTAAGTGTAGTTCACTGTGTAGGGAGCAGGCAGCCATTTGACATTCAGACCAAGTTCGAGTGGGGAGCGCCATTGGATTGGTGTTACATAAAACTCGCAGTGGTAATTTGGTGACCAAAAATACTCATAAAGCAATGGTTTTGCATTAAACGGTGCTATGTTATGATATGTTCATTGTTATACGACAAAAAGGTTTATAAAATGACCGCAGTATACAGCGATGGGCGAACGAACGTTCTCCTCTGCATTTAGCAGTCAGTGGTTGCTTGGCAACGATATCATACACTACATTACATACATACGCAGCTAACGTACATTTCTCAGTGGAATACTTGTTCATGTTGATTATTATCAAAAGTGACTTAAATTATTTTCCGAAAACTGTATATTTAATCATATTTTATGTTGGCCGCTGTATATAAAAGCAATAAGCTACATAAGGCCGCCGATAACTGCGACTTTATCACGGGGAAGGGAGTTTTTAAGAAGTAGTTTTAGAGCCGGTTTATGAGGAGCCTGGCCACTTCCTATTCCCCCCATTATATCAAAAACAGACCTGCTAAACAACAGAACACAATGAATGGGAGTAAATGGCTAAAAACGAAAAGTTAAAATAGTTTCTAATCATTTGACCAGAACTTTTATTTAATTTTAGAAAGTAGAAGGATGTATTTCACTGAAAAAAAAAAAAAAACAAAGAAATCTTAACTACCTATATATTTCCGTTTTTCTACAGCAAACGGGTTTTGGGCAGTAGGAGGCGGGCATTACTGCCAGAGCGTGATGATTGATTGGCGAGCGGAGCAGCTCATTGGCTGTTCGCGCTCACTAACGTCATGAATATACGTTACGTATATATGTATATACGTATATATGTTAAAATGTTTTATGATATTAAATGTTCAGGAAATGATTGTATTCCTTTACATTAAAAATGTTTAAGCATTTATAAACTATGATTCTGCTCAAATGCTCCATATCAACCCATTCATTTTGGACTCGCTCGGGAGCGCCCTCTAGCGTAATTCTCCTCTCTGCAAGTTCTCTGGTGGTTTATTGCTTCACCCGCTACGTATGCGTGACAGTTAGCTATGCGCTGCCAAGTCTCCATGACAACGCCATATCGTTCAAACCGGGAAGTCCGTTATAACAACACAAATGCCCTCAAGTGGTTATGAGGAAAACGTTATTAACAGAGGCGAGTTTGAACCCAAACTAAAAGTCTTGTCACTTAAGTGGAATAATGATTCTAGTAAAACTGTCAACAGCATAGCTTAGTGAAATTCAATAGAACAAGACACTTTACAAAGCTGGCTAGCTAAATGTTCATGACTAATGTAGTTAGTTAACCTAGGTAACGTAACTGAGTAAAAAGTTGGTTAGTTTTTTCATAAACGCCCTCAAGTAAGCAAAAATCTTTATTTATTTTAAACAAAATTCAAATGAACAATCATGACTATCCATGTTGCACAGCTTACTAATGAGCATGCTAGAGTAGGCTGATGATTGGTGCTAGTGTTCTGCAAACTTCGGTGCTCAAGGAAAGCAACTGCATTTGAACCCAAAGTTAACAGATTGCCCATTCTACGCTGTGCATTGCCACAGTTTTGTACTGCAGTATTGCATTGTCACAGTGCACTTGTACACCACTAATACAAAAACTTCAGGTATAACAAAAACTGCTTAATTACTGAGTGACTTCTAACTGATCCTCAGGGCACTCTAGACCACAGGTCTTCAAACTGGTCCTGATGGCCCCCATCTTGTATATTTTTGCTCTGTCCTATGGATTCTGAGTGTAGTTGTAGCAAAAATGTGGACTGGGGCCCCTGAGGATGGGTTGAAGACCTCTGCCCTACATGTTTAAAAAAAAGCAGTTCTTCAATGTTTCTTTAGTAAAGAGAATGGTTCTATATAGGACCATGAACACTCAAAGAACCCTTTTGCATGATTAAAGGGTTCTTAGCATCATGAACGGGTTCTTCAGATTGATGGAGAATGTGCTGTTGATAGTTCTCTATAGAACCTTTTTGAAAAGGTTTCTGTTTAGCACCAAAAAGGGTTATGCTAATGTTACAAGTCAGCAAAACAGATGACTCCTTATGAGTCGTTATGAAATATTTATTAATATATCAACAGTTCCAGTCTGTGTACACAAAAATATTAATCTTGCTCAAATACTTCTAAAATTATTTAGCAAAAAAACAAAATGTGTTAAGTTGTCCCTCTCAGAATTCAATTCATTTTATTTGGACAACAGCAAACTGCAAGTGTGCAACAAGTGTTTTTATTTATTATTTATTTTTTTTCCCCAGACTTACATTAACATTTACTCAGACTACTATAGAATTAAGTCACTCATGTTTAGAAACAAAACTTAGAATTACATTCACTTCTTAATATAGGTGTGTTCATATAGCGTTAATATATTGTATTAAAATATTAGGTAACTGAACACCACCAAATCTCGGGAATGAAAATACAAGTAAGGAAAAAGTTCCATTGTATATCTCTAGCACACTTATTAGTGTATGCATACTACAGTTTTGCGTTTTGAAGAACAGCCATGAACAATGTGAACTTTCTGTCACTGCTGACTTCACTCATGTCATAACCTGCTGTGTTGGTGGTGTGACTTTACAGGATACATTCCAAGTTGTTATCAAGTTTGGAATTTTTTACTGTCATTATTTTTTTTGTTTGTAATGTCTATGAAAGTGGTAGAAAGTGGTCTGTCAGGTCTCTCTTGTTGCTAAATGTCCCTGAGTGATCAACGGTTCAAGTATCAGTGTTAGCTAGATAGCTCACATAAACTTAGTGGTACTGATTTTGTTGTAATCTCAAATGAAAAATTGTGATGTTGTCGTGTTTGTAGGATGATTCAGACCCTGAAAAGTGTGAGACACTTGGCCACAGCAGCTATGAACTATAGAGGTGAGTGAAATTTTTTACATGTGTTGTTTGATTATGTGCAATTAACTGGCACTGTATTTTCTAATGTGACTGTATTGTTTAAAAGTATATGCATATATATTCGGTTGTAATCACCCTTGTGAAAAAGATCTATAGGGTTACTATTGTAATTTCTACAACATGAAGAGTCTCGTAGTAATTTCGGATAATTACTACAGAACATAGTAGTACAAATAACTATAAGAGAGTACTATATGAATAATATACAAAGAAAACAATATTAAACATTATTATAGGCATATTATGCAGCGCTATACAAACCTCATAGTTTGTTCCAATATTACTATAGATTAGTTTGATTATTTTTTTTATCTTGAGGGGCCAAAGTGTAATGTTTGTGATGGGTTGAAGGCCAAAGAGACAGTAAAGTAACAAAGAAGGCAGGTAGAGTTCAAGTTGAGTTTTCAGAAGTCTATTTAATAACATCATGCCATATTTTTTATTAAGATAACAATGGAGAAAGTGGTATAAAGTATTAAAAATATTTGTTTTCTCATTTATGAACGGGTGAAGTTAGGGTAACTTTCTGGCAATCAAATCAAACATCCTCACAGGCCTATTTTGAGCCGCAACCCCACTTTGAGCAGCGCTGCTGCAGATCTTTTTGTAAGGGTGGGGGTCTGAGTATTGGTCATTACTTCACTGCACAATGCTTATGACTGTTTGAGAAATCAGACCTTCTATAACTATATCAGTCTGTTTGCTTTGACAGTGTCAGAGTTTCGTGTGCCTGTTCCATGGGGAGAGATAAGGGGCAGGATTTGGGGTCCAGAAAATGGGCGGCCAGTGCTGTGTATGCATGGCTGGTCAGACAACAGTGGCTCTTTCAACAGCCTGATTCCACTGCTGCCCAGCGGTAAAGTATCTTTGTAGAATTACACAACAGCAATTATAAACGTGACCTTGAATTTACTGGATTGTTTTAGACGACTGTCTAAAGTATTCATGTACTGTACGTCTTAAAAAATGTATGTACACTACTTGTTACATACAAGTATTGTATGTCAAGATGTCAGTAATTCCTTTGAACAGGCTTATATAGCACATGTGGAGAATTCAGTGAATTATACATGTTTTCCAGTGGGTATGTATGTATGTATCTATCTATCTTTTTGGCTGTCTCTCTGTTTATCTATGCCTTTCTTTTTTTCTCTCTGTGTTTCTCATAGATTGGAGATGTTTGGCCATAGATTTGCCTGGTCATGGCTTCTCGTCTCATAGACCTGCAGGTGTTTTCTACGGCTTTCCTTATTATGTTGCAGACGTGAGACGAGTCATAGAAGGTTTGAGTCCATCATGCTTCTATAAATGCATCAGAACTTATAATATAAACACATTGCAAATGAAGAACGTAAACATTCAACACAAGTCAACAGAAATCAGAATACATTTTCATTCTGTACTGTGATGTACTTTCAAGGGAAACACAGTATCAGAGAGAGTCTCTGAGCTGACTGTTTGTGCTCAGTAATAGGTGGAGGTGGAAGAAGGGCAAAGTGAAACATGATTGATTAATACAAGGTTTGTTCCGGCCTGCTGGTGCACAGTGACATGGTTAAAAAAATCACATGTTTACAGGCGGGCAAAAGTCACTACATTTTGATGACTACTGGAAAACAAGAATTTTGTTTGATTATATAGTATAATGAATTGTGCTTAATATGACCCAGGATATGAACTGAGAAACATTAAAAAAGGTCAATTTTGATATCAGGATAACTTTAATAGGTTTTTGTTTTCTATGTATGCTACTGCTAATAAATGATTTTTTTGTTGTGTTGTAAGAAACTATATTTAAAGTTGTTATGCTCTTGCATTCACCTGTGTTTGATACCGATGGCCCTATGCCACTAATAGATATTGTATTTCTGTGTGCAGCTGTTCAGTGGAAGCGCTTCTCTGCAATAGGACACAGTATGGGTAATTTTATTATTATACTTTTTCCTCACTAAGGATGTCCCAAAGTTTTTTGCCTAAGATCTCTAAATTTAGTTCCAACACACAGTCACAGTCTTTGATTTTTCATATAATCCAATCCAGTCTGGTCCAGTACTGTACAGTGCCCACTTCAAGCACATTAAACTTATTGAAACCAGTCTAACTTAGGTAAGATATGCTAGCCTGGCAGTTACTTTAAAATCCTGCAGTAAATATCACTTGATTTTTAGCATGTGTGTAATACAACATGTTTTGTGTGTTTTTGATTCACATCATTCCAAATCACATTCCCTTTTTGCAGTATTGTATGTGCTTTCTGTAGTAACTCATTGAAATGTGGCTAGTAACAGTGTGAGAGTAATAAGACCAGAGGTATTTAGGTGACAGGTTATTGCTGACTTGGACACCACAGCTGCTCTTATCATAAAATAATGAGTAGCTGATTTGAGTGACTGACCAATGTTCATTCTCTGTGAATGTTTACTTGTATTATACATGCGTTTATTCAGGATAAACTGTTTATTGATCTGTAGCTAAACAGAACCTCAGTGTCTTATTCACTTAAACACTGGGGTTATGTCTTTTTTACATTACAGGTGGAAGCATAGCTGCAATGGTAAGACCTTATCGTGTTATGGTTATGCAGTGTATAGGATGAAGAGAGAATGCAAATGCAACTTGTTTTGTTTATGGCTGTTTTGTTGGCAGTTCAGTGCATTGTATCCAGAGATGGTGGAGGCTGTAGTGCTCCTGGACTCTTTTGGGTTTCTCCCAGCATGCAAGGTACAACTATACCACATTAAATTTTAAAAATAGATATAATATCTATAATGTAAATTCCTTCTGTATTCATTCCTGCATTGTCACTATCATAACAAAACTATATCTCCAAAATGGTAACTTTATAAGAACATTTTTTCTTTTTATTTAAGTAAAGGGGCCTACATATTTTTTTGCTTTTTTGTGTTTGATGCACTGTGCAAACATTGTTAGGAAGTTTCATTGCAAGTTTCAAAACATTGACTTCCCAGTCTAGGCAGTCCATATATGTAAAGTAAGCTGCAAAAACAGCCTGTTTGATTTTACTGGCTTTCTTTACTGGAGTGTTTTTTGACTGAGGCACAATATGGGGCAGCCAGTCAGAACCAAGGTCATTTATATAAATCAGTCTTAAAGACACAATGATAAAAACAGCCTAATAAATTCTAAATGATAGAGAATGTGACAAATGTTCAAATGAATTGTTTTTAGTGCACCAAGTTATCATAAAAGGACCTCAGGGAAAAAAATAAAATACAAAAAAATGTTGGATATGGCCCCTTTAAATTAATATGCTTTTATTTAAAGTCATATTGGACCATTTTTATTGGTCCACTCATGACAGTCATATGTTAAATAATATTTATTTTTTACTGTAAATTTACAATAATTTGCCCTATTTAGATTGCAGTGATTAAGGCAAACATAATCATTGCACTCATACATGGTGCTTTTTTGTTCACAGAAAGAGATCAACAACATCATAAGGAAAGGGATGAATGAAATGATTGAATATGAAAAAAAGATGGGTGACAGGAAAGAAAGGATCTACACATATGAGTCAGCCAAAGAAAGGTATTTTTTTATGAACTCTTTCATGCAGTCAAACTGAAAGATTAGTTAATCTGATTCAGAGAATGTTCTTCTTTCATTCTCCTCCAGGCTGAAGGCAACAAATCCATTTCTTTCAGATCAGTCTGCTCAGAGCCTTCTAGAACGAGGAGTTAAGCAGGTGGATGGAGGTTAGATATTTTCTTTATTTGCCAGTCTTGGCCTGTTTGCATGTGATGATATTTTATAATGAAATGTGTGCATTTTTTTAACCATCTTCTGCAATTCAAACATAAGAAGCACTCATTTTCCACTGTGTTCCCATTACACGATTGTAGCACAAAACAGATTGTGACACATCTGATTTTTTCACAGCTGTGGGAACAAAAATCTTTTCAAATTAGATTTGAACCAGTGACATACATGTTTCTAAATTGGATACATATCTGGGGCTATGTTCACATTACCAGGTTGAAGTGGCACAAATCCGATTTTTTGCCCAAATGTGACTCAGATCTGATGATATTAGAGCTGTGTGGACACGCAAATCTGATCTTTTCAAATCCGACCAGTCAGTATTACAGTGCGTCAGCAGCTAACACTAGGGAAAAAATTAACTACTTGCATAGTTGTTTTTCATGCCTGTGGATCATGAACAACACGTTATTTATTTAGAAAATGTGAGCATGTTGGTCATTTCAGGACAGATATGTGCTCACACAAACATTAGTTTTGAATAACTTACAACCAAGAAAACTGTTAGGCCAGAAAAAATAACGAACAATAACAGTAACAGATGGACAACTTAAGATCATTAGCTCTAATCATGAATAGCTATTAGCTGGTATAAGGTGAACAACAAGCGAAAACAGTAATGCTTCTGCAATGTTTACCAGCAGAAACTGAACACTGCATAAAGACTGTAATATGCACATAAGCAATGTTTAAAAAAACACACATTTCATTCTCATTAAGGTCACATGGCCATAATTCGAAGATGTATCCCATGTAAGACTATATATGAAAGTGGCTCAGATTTGATTTGAAGAGTTTAGATGTTTGTGTTCACACAGTGCTAAAACATCAGATCAAACATCAGTGTCACATTAAGAAAAGGAAATTATAATAATTGTGCCCCTTCAAACTGGTAATAAGAACACAGCCTTAGAGCAGTAGAGGGTTTGTTAATTTCATAATATCAGGTGTGTTGATGCAGGAGAGTCACTAAACAGCACCATGGTGTACTCCAGAACAAGCAAGAATTAGGAAGCATTTTATCTTTGTCATTTGGGCACAAGGCCTTCATCATATATATACTCAAATTAAACACACATAACAATAATCAGGGAATGATTGCATGAATTAATTTTGAGCATAATCCTCACTCCAGATGTTCAGCATAAACCCCCAGGCAGGAAAGAATAGAGGAAAAAGACATTTTTTTTGTCTTGTTTTAACTTATAAGTCCATTTTTTTCTCTTGTAGGAGTGGTGTTCAGCAGGGACATCAGAATCAATTTAGTAAGTTCGGTAACTGCATTTGGTCTAAAAAATGACATATATGCATTGTTTTCATTATCAGGTAATGATCTTATCCTGTTACATGTTATTGTGATCAGTGCTGCTGATTGTGAATGCTTAATAGTGTGTGGTTTGTTTCAGACTAACATTGCACGAATGGACTTGGAACAGTGTCTAGACTTGCAGGCACAGATAAAAGCTAAAGTGCTTTTACTGAGGTGAGTACTGATTATAAACCTTAGGTGTGGCAAGTTTAACTAAACTTTACAGTGTACTTGGCCACATTGTCATTTAGCTGTTTTTAAACCACAGCATCTTAAAAGTACTGTATCATTAATACTGTGTTGTTAAACAATTTGTAGTTTAGGCATTTCCTCTCAGCACATACACCGATGTGTCAAAATATTTGTGACCACATTATGACCACATTAAGCAGGTCAGAGCCCTAAAGGGACTCTACAAGACCTCTGAAGGTGCCGTGTGGTATCTGGCACCAACACATGAGAAGCAGATCCTTTCATTCCTGTAAGTTGCAAGTTGAAGCAACTGTGGATCTGACTTGTTCCAGCACATCCCACAGATACTCGATCAGACTGAGATCTGGGGAATTTGGAGACCAGGGCAACACCATGAGTCCCTAATCATGTTCCTTAGACCATTCCCGAACAATGTGTACAGCGTGGCAGGAGCATTACCCTGCTCAGAGGCCACTGCCATCGGGGAATACCATTGCCATGAAGGGGTGTACCTGGTCTGCCTAAACAATGTTTAGGTAGGTGGCACGTGTCAAATTGACGTCCACATGAATGCCTGGACCCAGGGTTTCCCAGAAGAACTTTGCCTAGAGCATCATACTCCTTACACCAGCCTGTCTTCTTCCCACAGTGCATCCTATTGCCATCACTTCTTCAGGTAAATGCTGCACACATACCCACCTGTCCATGTGATGTAAAAGAGTCCCGTTCTGACACTCGTCTGCCCATTGTAGGTTAGCATGTGCACTCTGACAGGTCTGCAGCTACAGCCCCATATGCAACAGGGTGCGATGCAGTGTGTGTTGTGACACATTCCTCCTGTAACTATCATAAAAAATTCTGTGACTAGTGCCACAGTAGCTCTTCTGCTGGTTTGGTCCAGACAGGATAGTCCATTCGTTGCCCTCACGCGTGGATGAGGTGTAGCGCACAACACCCTGTTGCCGGTTCGTTCTTTGTCCCTCCTCTGACCCCTGTCAGTAGGTACTCATCACTGCTGAGCAGGAGCACCCCACAAGCCTTGCCAATTCGGAGATGCTCCAACCCAGTCTGGCTAAAACGATTTGGCCCTTGTCAAAGCCGCTCTGGTCTTCCGGCCTGCCTATTTCTCCAACACGTTGAGTCTGATGATCAGCTGTTCACTTACTGTCTAATATATGCCCAACCTTGACAAGCGCCATTGTTATGAGATAATCACTGTTATTTGCTTCATCTGTGAGTGGTCATAACATTTTGGCTCATCAGTGTACTTTAGCTATGTACCACAGCACTGGATTTCACTAACTGAGTTCCACTGGTTTTTAAAGCTGCCAGCAGCACTGTGAGGGGTGTCACAGTTTGAAATTTCCACTGTATTACAACCCAGTATAAAAATTTGGTGGTTTGTATCATGGAATCACAGTGCTTCAAGTGGAGAATACTTTTGTATGTTTCTTTGCATCAAATGAAGGAATACCAAAAGTGTTTAGTGTTTAGTTTTTCTAATATATTTCTGTTAAATAGTAAAATCTCATTTTATTTAGTTTTTCATTTTGGTTTTTGATCCCTTTTTAGTTTCAGTTAGTTTTAAAGGTGCATTTGTAGTTTCAGTTTAGTTTTTATTTAGTTTCAGTTTTAGTTTTATGTTGAATTTTTAGTATTATGATGAATACTGTGGTTGTAGGTATTTGATAAGAGTAGAATAAAATTAGCACAACAGTAGACAGAGCTCAGTTTGGCTACAGAGTTCTGTAAAGACAGCCAAGCACAGAAATGATCCACTTCTAAACACTCATTCACATACTGAAAAATAAAAACTAAAGTTTTTTTTCTCAGTAAATTTTGCCGTGGACATTATGGTTTTAATTTTGTTACATGTTTTTGAAAACCTTTTTTATACGTTAACAAGCACCTTTTTCACTACTAATTTCAAGTAATAATTTTAGTTAACTACAATAAGCTGAGCAAAGCAGGGATATTACAGACTTTAGGTGTGCTGCAGCTGTAATCTTGCCTTTTTCTTTTCTTTGTTTTCAGTATGCTTTATTGATTAATGTATGTTTTTTTTAATAGTTTAGTGCAAAGCAGCCAACTGAGCTGACTTTTGAGTATCAAACATTATGTGATTACGCTGAAAGGCGTATTTAAAAAGTATATATTGCTTTTGTTCTTGTTTGAAAAAGTTCTTGTTTAAAAACAGAACAATAAAATAAAAAGCCTGGAGACAAGATGGGGTGTGGAGTCAATACAACTTAGAAAATATAATGTCAATGGATTATGGTGCAATTATGTTCCCTGACTAAAGGTGCTGAGATGTACCCTTGAGGGTCCCATCACAGTGACAAGAGGGGTACTGCCCCAGTGACAGTTTACTACCTTTATTTATGAGAGCGTAAAGTGTTTCAGTGTGAGGTGAAATGGAGGAGGTCATAGCTAAAATAGACTTACAGCCACAGTCTTCCAGCACTTTAGCAGGTAAAAACAGACTACCACAGGTCATATCTAAGGTACTACTCGGGATAAAGACGGCCCATTGTCTCGTGTTGAGACAGCAGCGGCAGCATATTAAAGCAATAAGACATAAGAACTTGTTTGATTTTACTGTGTTAGGCTTATGCTTAGCACGCATGCAACACAGACTTAAACCCCCTAGCAGAACTGAAATCGTTGTAATGCAGAATTGAGTGGCTTATTGCTTTCATAAAATGACAACAAAAAATATAATATACAGTAAAATAAATATATTAAAGTATAATTAAAGATCAAAGATCAAAAATGATTTCATGAACAACAGTCACTGTTTAATGGTTTGGAATAGCTTTACACTATTACAGTATTTTACCATGGCGTTAAACATGCATAAGAACTTGAACAACACTACCCAAAAACATTTCCTAGGTGGGGTCTGAGTTCTAAGTAAGTTGTGAAGTGAACAAGTGGTCTGTGGTCTGTACTAAAAAAGACCATTTTAGGACCACGTCCACTTTAAGTTCACTTGCATTGCAAACACAAAAAAATGTGAAAACACCCAGAGAAAGAACTATATATACTACACTATGTAAAGGAGCAATAACTTCTAGATGGTTATAGATGTAAATATATTTTCATCGGTATTTTGAAAAATAAAAAAAAAAGTTACATTGTGACTAACCATGAAACCTTGACGCTGACGCTTTATGATAGCACAACTACTCTGATGTACCATATCGAAAGCAAACATCCTCAGCAGATAGGACAGACAGCCATGTCATCGTTCTCCGAGAGAAAATGTGAATCATAATGGTGTGAGGATCTCACAGGATATCACACATGGGAGGGCGAAATTAACATAACTAGACCTTTAGAATAAACTTTCAGTAGACCGCCATTGTCACTTTATCATGATCTTAATTTTTGGTCATATAATTATAAACATAGTTATCAGACCCTGGGTTCTTATGTAGGGTATGTTTAATGTATATATATTATGCCTGGGCTAAGCACAGTCCGCTGTGATTAGACTGCCCATTTGTTTAGATAGAACAAAGTATAAGCTCTTTGTAATTCTGCAGGAAGGAATGACAGTTTTATAAGGCTTTTTTATCCAGGGGATGGCATTTACCTGCATTTTCCCTCTTCTCACCTTGAGTCTTGCCAATAAAACTCCAGTGCTACTTTCACTTACCACTGTATATCGCTTGTAGAACAATTTGTTTGTTCAGTTTGTCAAAACATCTTCCTTAGTTGGCCAGATTAAATAGTTTAGAAGAGGGATACACAGAACAACTGACATTACAAAAATGTTCTTCTGTCAGTTGGTTGTAGTTATATATTTCCACCACAGAAGGCTCCAAATCCCCAAACTTACATAGCCCTGCTTTGAGGAGGAAAGCCTATTCAGAGAAATCAGGCACTGTAGCCTGTGATAGATTAAATTGAGTCATCTTATAGCAACTTGATTAAATGCTTTTTATGATTATTTCAGGGCAAACCAGGGCTTGATAAAGGTCTTTCCCCAACCTGAGGACTTATTTGAACCCATACAGAAGGGCTGGGAAGACAAAGTGAGTGCCTACCTCAGTTTTCTTGCGTTCCACTCATACACACAGACAGCAGGACCCCCAGCAGTTCAGTTTTTTGTTCTCTCCCTGTGTGTTGAAACCTGGGATGAAGCTTCAAAATGTGGGCCGCCTGAGGGTCCCTGAGGACCGGTTTGAGAACCGCTTCTAAAACTACACACTTTTCTAGAGCACTAAAGCAGAAGTCACACTAGACATTTGCACATTTGTGCTGTGGTTGGCACTGTGGGGTGACTTGTTTGCTTCTGCAGTTAGCTATGGAGCTAATATCGCAGTAAGCATGCTTCCTAACTCATCTGAAACAAAGAATAAAACCCTAAAAGAAAATATAATATATTTTCCTGACTGATTGAGTATCATGTAGTTTCTATTTTATGTGTTTATAGCCAGTCAGAAAGAATGGTAAAAGGTTTGTGATTAGACAGTGGTTAAATTAGCATGTCTTCTGTTTTGGAGGTTCATTGTTATGAAGGACAGCCAAAGCAGCAGCACTATTGGTACCAAAGTTTAACTCAACGCATACAGTATTTATTCACCCTAGACAAAAATGCTCATCACGCCAATTTCCATTGAAATGAATAAGATTAGGCTTGCGAAAAATTCACTGGCGAACGCAAGTGTGATTAGAACTTGATGATTTGTCCCAAATCGAATTATGAAATTGAGACATTACAACTTCCTCAGTATTTTCTCTGTTACTCTGTCTCTGTTTATCTCAGAGCACTATTGTGACAGTCGAAGGAGACCATCACATCCACTTAAATGACCCAGCGGTTGTGGCGCCAATAATCACTGACTTCCTGCAGTCTGTGACGCCTGAAGACACTGCCAATCAAGCTGCCAAATAATGAAATCTTCTCCACACGTTTTTGTATGCATGTTCATATCCAAATCTGTGCTTTCTCACTAATAATATAGAACTAATTAAATTAACAGGGTAAAGTAAGGTAACGTTGTTTTCAGTTGCAGTGTAATGTATGCTGTACACAGGGGTCAGACACCAGTCTTGGAGGGCCACAGCGCTGCTGAATTTACACAACAGATCCAACTCATTATATAGTTATGAGTTTAACTGGCTGTGTTGAAGAATTTTTTTAAGGGAAGCTAAATTCTTCTTGTTTTTTTCTAAAATGAGAGTTTGATGTGCTTTGAAAAAAAACTGTTCACTCTTTACAGTCCATATAAGGAAATTATACAACCCGTTTTGGATTCATCAGGGTTGTGATGTCACAACCATGTACATATGTTTATTTGACCACCCATCCAGCTTGGAGCAGCTTAGCCTATGAAGTGATAGTTACTGCAAACACTCTGTAGCAGCCTTATTAAAGTGGAAGATGTGGGAAAATGATTAAACGGTGTGCTACTCCTGTCTGTCAGGAAGAAAGTGTATCATCATGCTCCCAAAGTATCCAAACATCAGAAAGGAGTGGCTGAAATTATTTTTCAGTTTTCAGTTTTATTCAGTTGGGTCTCGGTTTGACATTCATGCCATTCAGGGTAAACTGTATGATGACTGATTTTGTATTGGAGTCAGTACATCACCTGTTCAGCTAAATCCATTGTTATTTTTTTCATACAGTGATCTAAAATATGTTATACGAACACTATGCCTTAGTCTGATTCTGTAGTATGATGGTGCTATCAATTAAAGAATACATAGACACTGTGTATACGTCTATGTGTGTTTTTCTTATCCTTATGTGTTGCAGTAGCGTAGCCAGGACTTCTTTTGGGAGTGGGTTTTCAGGGCTATGGCCAACTAGCAAGCATTATGTCCCAGAGACCTCGCATTAGTGAACTTTATTGTAGCTAAGCCTTTAAGAAATTAGCCAACCTCAGCCTCATATTCCACAGCTAGTAAAGGCTAATTAAACAGAGGCCTACCTTTTACAACAGTAGGTGTAGATGATGTTTAGAAGATTGCGATGTTCATGTCACTTTCACAAAGTGCTGAACTTTTTTTTCTTTACCATGGTCAACTACTGCTATTTGCTAACTATGTAAATGGCCTATTGGAACTAGACATAGCTCTGCTAAGTTCTCACCATCGTTTCCTGCCTGTTTTTGCAGTTTTCATGCAGCCGCATTAACATTGCCATGGTGATAGTATCCTCTGAAGAAGTGGTTCACTCCTACAAGAGAAAAAAGGAGTCAAAGGAGAGTTTAATAATATTATAAACAATCAGCTTTTGTTATAGTGGAGCATTTTTCTAATGGTCAGAATACTGAGAGGCCTGTGTCCTTATGTTTGTTCACTAAACCATTCACATTTGCCTCATGTTGATATGAAAGTCAAGGCAGATGTATTTTGTCGATTTACACACACATTGCTCACCCTGATCACAGGCACGACCCACTCTTAGAGGAAATGTAGTGTAACTGTGTGTTTTACTGATCATGCAGTGTGTGTCAGCTGCTTACTCTGAAGGCTGAGCATTGAGGAGGTTTGTTTGTCTGTGTGAGTAGTACATTATTTTGGACTGGGTGTAATATGTGTGTGCATGGGAGTTTGAATGTGTCATTTATGTGTCATGGTGCAGCAGAGAGGAAAAAGACTATTTCTGAAGTGTTTATATGCAGAGTACGTGGGTGTATGTGATGAGCGCATCATCCTACCCCTCATAACACATTCTTAAAGCAATAGTTTGACCAAAAATTAATTTTACACAACTTTCCCCTTACACCAAGTGTAGCCAATCAGACATGTTTAGTGTCTGAAGTCTCCTTCTTTAGTTTTGTGCCGGATCCAGGGAATATCTAGTGATGAAAATGACCACTCAGTAATGTTTTCCAGGTTTGACAGACGCTAGATGGCGCTCCTGAGAAACTCTAAATGAATAGGTTCCTATGGAGCTTTTGTGTAAAATTGTAGTTTGTCAATGCTTAATCATTTTTATAGAGAAAAATGCACTAAATATCACAACACAGAAGAGCATAAAATACTTGTGCAATGGGCTCACCAGCCAATCAACACTCAGTAGCAGTAATGCTGGCATGCCACTGCCAAAAACCTGTTTGCTGTAGAAATACAAAAATATACTGGTAAATTGTTTTTTTATTTTTTTTAATGGAATACATTGTTCTACTTTCTAAAATTAAAAGCAAGTTTCCCTTTAAATGGCTTTTAATGTCTATGTTGGTTTATGTTCCATTATCATGAAATGTTAGGTGTAATTTAGTCTTAAATTCTACCCTTCAGTAAGGTGTTACCTAGATTTGCTGATGTGGTTTTTGAGATGGTATGATATTCTGTTATCTGGAAAACGGTTCCAAAACTGTTTTAGCATTGCAATGTATTGAAGCACTGGCACAAAAAAAACTGGAGTCTGCCATTTTCTGTCAGGATAATGCTTTTTATCGGAACAGAGAGGAAAGGGGGACTATGGGGAAATGGAGGGGGAAAGCCACCAACAGTAAAACACAGCCTGACAAGGAAAGACACTTTCAACGCCTAGTTAAACACAAAAACGACATGATAAAAGCGCAACCACATTATAGCATATAGTGCAGCTAATAAGCACCAATATTTAGCACATTAAACCCCTGGTTCCTCCCACATGCAGTACAGCTTCTCGTCGTGCATCCGGAGGCTGTCCCAACTGGCACAAAGCACCTTAGCAGCGGGCCTGTGTGGCATCACTTTTGCTCAGCCCGGTTTCTGTACTGCGTGGAACCATCTACATGCCCAAGAGTGCTCAGCGTCCCCCTCTTGGGCACAGCAGAACTCCTCACAGCTCATAGCATCAAGTCCGGTGCTACAGGGGGCGACGACAGCAGCAATGGCACCCCTCTTTCTTTGCCTTCTGTGTCCATGTCAGCATCTGATCTCCTTGGCTGTGGCATCAACGCTGAGAGCTGTTGAGAGCTGTTTTCTCCACCAGCTTAGGCTCACGGCATTGACTGGTGGGGTGTCCCCTCTTCCTGCACCAAAAGCACACCAGTTGCTCCGCCCCCACTTGCTTGGGGAATGCTCAGCAGGGAGTCCCCTCCTCGGGCTCCTTCTCCATGTAGCACTGTGTTGCTTGCTGCAGCATCTCTACGCTGAGGATGAGTTCTGCCCTCTCTGCCTCAGCAGCGGCTGCTTGAAGGTTGGCCAGTGTAGCGAGCTGCACATACCCTCTCAGCTCCTCTGGCAGCAGCGTGTTCAGGAAGTGTTCCAGCACCAACTCTTCCTGTGCAGCTTTTTTCAAAGCGGGAAATGCCTGTCGAATTACTGTGCCCAGCTCTGCCACCAGCGCACTTACACACTTACCTGCTGTCCCTTTAGCCTCTGATTCTCCAGGAGCAGCTGCCTGACTGACGACACCACCAGTACTTGCACAAATCGTTGCTGGAGGGCCATGGTCAATGCCACTAGGAGTTCTGCCGTGCCCAAGAGGGGGACGCTGAGCGTCCTCACAGCTCTTAGCAAGTCCGGTGCTACAGGGGGCGACGACAGCAGCAACAGCACCCCTCTTTCTTTGCCTTCCACTTTCTCTGCCATCAACTGTGTCAACCCAAAGTCCATGGTGGCATCTGATTTCCTTGGCTGTGGCGTCAACGCTGAGAGCTGTTTTCTCCACCAGTGTCCCCTCTTCCTGCACCGATAGCACACCAGTTGTTCCGCCCCCACTCGCTTGGGGAAAGCTCAGCAGGAAGTCTCCTCCTCAGGCTCCTTCTCCATGTAGCTCCTGTCAGGGAGAGGGCAGGCATAGCGCCCTTTTCTCCAGGCCAAGTCTTCTTTGTAGTTCGCCTTTGAGTTCATAGATGTGCTGTTTGACTCTGCCCCACTGCCCACTTCTACAGTAGTGTAGCGTCAGTGCAGAAGAAGACTCAGAGTCCACCATTTTCTGTCAGGAAAATGCGCTTTATTGGAACAGACAGGAAAGGGAACTAGAACATGGGGGAAAATGGCAGAAAAACAAAACTTGATGAAGGTAAACATTTCCAACTCCTAGTTTAACATAAAAAGGCCACAATAAAGCACAACTATGTTGTAACATATATTATAACTAATAAGTAACACCATCTAGCACATTAAATATAACTAAAAACATGACTCCGGAAGTCCTCTACATACTCCTCTCCGCTCTCCCAATTGGGCCAACCCTAAAGTCCAGTGTAGTGCCTCAGTATTTTTGTGTTATTTTCAATACAGTTTGTTGTGATTTAGATGTGCAGTTGGCACAGTGCTAATTGGTGAGGTTAGCTACATTAGCTCTATTAGCTCCTGCAAAACTAAAGAAGCAAATAAATCCAGGCTGACTGACATTTTGGGTAAATAAAAAATTGTGTAAATTAAATTTTGGCTGAACCATCACTTTATTGCTTCTTAGAGACTGACTGATCTGCAGTACATCACTCTCCTTCAACTACTGCAGAGAAGGACGTAATGAAAAGAGGTCAAAAATCCTTAAAAAAATCCCTTACATAAGACTCTTACACTCACCCTCCCTGCTTTCGTCACAACCCGAGCTGTTACTATAGTTACCCACCCCCCCTTTCTGAAACAGGGTTGGCACAGCATTGACTAGAAGGGTGAGGGTGTGTGTGGAGAGACCGCATGAGCTTGCGGACCCTCGTGTACATCAGCAAAAAGGTTGTATCTTTCCATTCACCTTCACAGCCTGATCACACTGCAGCACCAGTGTTTTCACATCGTTTGGACGTGTGCTACACCCTGAAGTCACACAACAAGCCAAGGAATACAAGAGCATCTACAGGTATGTGCAGATGCAACAGTAGCCTACATGCAGTGTGTGAGCATGTGGTAATGTACGGTGTAGCATATGTGTGTATATATATCACATATATGGTTATAGTATGCTGTAATTCATGTAGGGTTAATGTATAGTGTAGGTCATGCATAGTAAATGTGTGGGGTATATTATGTAGGGTTAATGTATGGTGTAAGCCATGTATAGTTAACATATGGTGTATGCCATGTTTGATTAATGTATGCTGTACGTTACGTGTATGGTTAATGTATGGTGTAATCCTGCATGGTTAACGTATGCTCTAAGTTATGTAGGGTGAATGTATGCTGCAAGTCATATATAGGTTATGTATGATGTAAGTCATGCATGGTTAATATGTGCTATAAGTTATGGAGGTTAATGTATGTAATCATGCAGATAATGTAAAGGTAATATACAGTGTAGCTTGTGTAGCTAATGTATGGTGTAAATCATGTATGGATAATGTGTGCTGTAGTAAGGATGGTTAATGCATGATAAATGAACCCCTTAAACAATAGACTTATAATTCAGTTATTAATCTTAACACTTATTGCTGTAAATTATGCAGTAGCTACAGTGAAATTAATATGTAAATTATGTGAGTAAGGAATGACATGACATCTGTATTTCCATGTACTTAGAAAAGAATAGAAAACCCACTGACTTTCAAAATACTTACTGTCAAAGTCGATGGACAGATGCCAAAGCTGAAGTCTCTCTCTCTCTCTCTCTCTCTCTCTCTCTCTCTCTCCCTCTCTCTTTCTCTCTTTGTCTGTTATATACAGCATGCCCTGGATGTTTGTGGACTGGTTTGTTCCTGTCTATCTGCTGGTTTCGGTCCTGGTGCTGGCCGGCTTCGGGGCCTGTCTGTATTTCCTGGAGCCCGGCCTTCAGGACCCTCACAAGTGGAGCAACAAGTCCATAAAGCGGCAACCCCTGGCACCCACACCG